TCCTGTCTGGGTGGCTGCCTTCCTAAGTCCCCAGGAAGGTACTCCTTTGAGCTACCCTTGCCCAGGTTGGGTAGGGGTCCTTCGCCCTAAGGTTGGGCAGTGGCCTGCTGATGGGTGGCCAGACTCTGGAACCCATGGACCTTGTGTAGACCAGAGTAGAGTAGTCATTGCTTATTGGGTAGCAATTTCCAAAGCACATCCTGTGTGCCAACCCTTGGAACAGCTACCAGCCTACAGAAGTGAGGACTTCTGGTTCAGGTCTAAACAGAATGGCTCCTGGAACAAGGGTGACTGGCACACACAAAAGCCCCAGCCCTGCATTGTCCTGTATTTGTGACTCTGAAGAGCTTCCCCACTGAGTCTCCTGCTCCTGGCTGAAGGACTAGAGTGCTTTCATAGCTCTCATCGGAGTGAGGGATGAGCAGCCCTGTTGCATAGTGGTTAAGGGTGCAGGTCCTGGGACTCGCCACTTCTTAGCTCTGACCATGGCCCCGTGACTCTGCTCCCCTGAGCTTCATCTGTCTCCCCTGTCCATTTGGGGTTGGTGGTGGGTGCTACAGCTCAGAGCAGAGCGTTAGTGGCCCATCCTGGACTGAGATCTTCCATTGCAGCCACTGCCTTCATGGAGCGCCCATGTCTGTGTCCTGAGTTACGTGCTTTGTACTCACAAGCTTCCTGCTCATTGATTATGCGTGGCAATCCTAAGGGGGAAGTTCTGTTGTGATTCTTGTTTTACAGAAAGGAAAGCTGGGGTTTCAAGAGGGTGTGTGTACTTGGTCCCCAGGCTGCCAGACTGGGATTAGGGTCGAAAACATGGCCCTTCATCCCGACCTCCTCCGGCACCCTTCCTTTGTGGGCCAGCTACTTAGGATGGCCCTGCCTCGGCCTCAGCTGTCAACTGGCCCTTCCATAGCCCTGGTCTGTTTTTTTTTCCAGCCGAGTTACACACAGCCGCCCTACACCCAGGGAGGTTACACCCAGGCCTACACAGCCCCACCACCTCCACCTCCACCACCACCTGCCTACAACTATGGGAGCTATGGCGGGTACACCCCGGCCCCCTACACCCCGCCGCCACCACCCACCGCACAGACCTACCCTCAGCCCACCTATAACCAGTATCAGCAGGTAGGTGCCAGACTGGGAGCCAGTGGGATGGAAAAACTTTCTGAAGCCCTGCCTGGGTGTGTTGTCCCAGCCTTGAATCCCCAGAGAGAACGGTCTGCTTGGTGTTAGACTGGTGGGGTGGGCTCCTGCAAAGTGTGTGCTAAGTGGGTGGTGCCCCCGCTCCTCTGCACAGCTGCCAGAGCAGCCCCTCTGTGAGCCCACCGGCTGGAAAGTTGGGGACCTAGGCTACAGTCTACTACCCCATGGCCCGCAGGTGAGGGTGGGCCTGTAGGGTGGGCTCTGACCTCCTTCCTGCTGTTCTCTCTCCCCCTCCCCAGTATGCCCAGCAGTGGAACCAGTACTATCAGAACCAGGCTCAGTGGCCACCCTACTACGGGAACTACGACTATGGGAGCTACTCTGGGAGCACACAGGGCGGCACGAGCACCCAGTAGCCAGAGCGCCCGGAGGCCCTGCCAGCTTCCTCTACCAGCGCCCACCGCTGCCCCTGCTGGGCCCCAGGGCTCCCTCCCTGCCCAGCCACCCGCCAGCCCACTGCCTCCCCACCGAGGGGCTTCTTACCCCCTCCCTGGGCCAGGCATTTCTCTCTGGGTTCAAACAGGCCACAGTGACCTTTTCTTTTCTGTTTGCCCCACCTCTTCCCTCCTCTTCCTTCCTTTTTGACTAAAGAGTTCCTCCCCTCCCTAGGTCTCACAATGAGGCTTCAGTGACTGAGGGGAGGACCCCGTCTCCTAGCCAGTCCTCCCCAGCCCCCAGCTGCCCAGTCCCTCATGCAGTTTGTTGTAAATTCTTCCAGGAGCTGTTTTACTGTCTACTTTTCAGGATTAAAAAAAAAAATCAAAAACTTTAAAAAAAACAAAAACAAAAACATGAGTTAAAAAAAAATATATATGGAGGGAGGAAGCAGTGGCAATTTGTGGGGTTTTTTTGTAATTCTGGGATTTTGTTTTTTTTGGGGGGGCGGTTTTCAATTTTTTTGTTTTCAATGTTTAGAATTTGTCAGCTTTCACTGTGGGTCAGATGTTGATAAGATAGCTCATCACAATAACCATCTCACTGCTGAGTTCAGGTGACCGAGGAAGAGCCAGACCCTCAAAAGGAAACAAAACACACAGCAAACCACAAAATCACCTTGAACCTAAACTTTTTATACCGTGCGTGTCTCAGTTCCCCAAACTTGGCACACAAGCTTCTGTGTTGAGTTGAATTGTAACTGCTTTTTGTATTTGGAGAGAGTGTGATTATTGAACTTGAAACCTTTTATTCTGGGTGTCCTGGTAGTTTCTGAAGGGCTGAAATGGGTGGAAGGGTTTGGGGGCTCCTTCCCTTCAGCTTGGGATGGCCTCTCAGAGGTGTCCAGGTCCCAGACCTGAGTTCCCCCTAGTGACCCTCTTCAATTCTTTTTACTTTACCTTGTCCCCTAACTTTTAACAAACTGCACTTACCTAAGAAATGTGTTTGCCCTGTTTTGTTTTCTTTCAATAAATGACATGGCATCTCATAGAGGAAAGGAAGCTGGGATGAAACCCTGAAGTCTTACTGCACTTGACCTTTAATTGGGGTGGGAGCCTTTTCAGAGGGAAATTATTTCTTCTCTTTTAAACCAATGTATAATTAGTGAGGGCTACTTTTGGTGCTAGGGATGACTCCTTACCCTTCCGGGGCCCCCAGTTAATAAAATCCATTGTTTGGTTTCTAATGTAGTTCCCAGGTTCCTCACCCCTCAAAATGGGTTCACACACAAAGCCATCAGGACAGTTTTTTAGTAGAATGTGTGAAGTGGGCCCCTAGGTCCAAGGAAAGATGGGGTGGGGAGGTGGTTACGGGTCATTAGTGGGTACTGACCATCCACCCCAAGCCTATGTTGTGCACTGGTCTCTACACGGTTCTTGACCATGGTCCAAATCAGTGAGGACTCCTAAGGACCAAGCAAAACCACTGTCAATTGATTCCTAATCATAGTGACCCTGTATAGGTTTCTGATACTCTTAAACCCTTAAAGAAGCTGCCAGAACAGCTGCTGAGTGAATAGTAGCCCAGTGCTTAACCCATGGTGCCACCAGGGCTCCTGGTGGGGATTTCAGCGACCTTTAGTTCTTCAGTATGCCAGGCACCTACTTACTCTACCTCATCCGCAGAGGACAGCTCCCAGGACCAGATGCAAGGTGGAACTGATACCAAGCTGTGAGGGTGCCAAGTGATCAGGGTGGAGTAGGGGGAGAACTTAGTGAGTTACAATGACAAATAGGGTCAAAAACTGCCTCTGCATCTCAAGGCCCACCAGCCTCTGGTTACACCTCATTCATGTATGGATTGAGTAGGTGCAGTGTTCCTCCTGGTCATTCCCAAGCAGAGTGGACACAGGCTACAGAGGGAGGGCAGGGTGGAGCATCTGAACATGAATAAGGGCCAAGGCTGGTAGCCAGCTCTCCTGTGTGACCCTTAGTTCCCGTCTGGAAGATTCCCTTCCCTGCTAGTCCATATTGTAGGCTAACAACGCCCTCTGCTGGCCTTTGCTGATAATGTACCTGGATGCCTGTGGCCAATTAGACCTCGGTTTGGGAGAGTAAAATGAGAAATGCTTCCTTTGATCTCAGCTCCAGTCTGGATTACTGCACCATCCTCCCTCACTTTGAGCCATAGTCCCTCCTTGCCCAGGGTTCCTCAGGATAAAAGTGCACCAGCTACTACAGTACACTTAGGAGTCCCTGCGTGGCCTGGCCCCTGTAGATCTCACTGGCTCTCTCTCTTCTTGCCCCCTTTGAACATCAGTGGTTCTTCCGTTCCAAAATGTGGGGGGAGAGTGTATTAAATATCGCTTTAGTAATCCATAAAAGTTATAAACCTCTACCTTAGTAGATACATGAGGTTTTCAAAGCCTCTGCATCCCTATCATGGCCTGCAAGTTAAGAGTGCCCTTCCTACTGAATCTTAGGGAAATCCTTGGCAGCTCCCACACTATGCCTGCCACATCCCCCTCTAGATCTTTGCACTCTCCCCTCAAACCAACGTCAACATCTTCCCCAAAACCTGCTCTTCCATACCCCCTTTCTGGTACTCACCCTGAGACCTTTATCTCAGGCTCACCTGCCTGAGACCTGTATCTCTTGCCCACCCTTCAAGTCTCAGCTCCAAGAATTAAGCATTTCCTGACCCCGCCATTCCCCAGGCTAAGAAAACACCTCATCCAACTGGATAAATCAGGATACAGTTGTCTTCATTATCTAAATATTTCCATATATTAAAAAGCAAAGTGGGAAGTCCACGTTTTGATCTGACCACCCATCTCATGCCAGCCAGGAACTGGTGTGATGGCAGATGTAGGAGCAGAGGTTAGTAAATAGTCCCTGTAGGATGTGTATGAATTGTTAAATGGAAAACTAACTTGCTCTGTAAACTCTGACTCAAATCACAATAAAAAGTTTAAACCAGACCCTCAAGAGTTCAATTCCTGGAGAGGAGTTTCACTCCTCGGAAACCCTATATGGGGTCACCATGAGTCGGAACCGACTCGAAGGCACTTAACATCCACCCCAAAATAAGACATGCCGGGCTGTTCCGTGCCAGGCCTCTGCTGGTCGCTGGAGTCTCAGCACTGAGCGAGGTCACTGGTTCAGATACCTCCAAAGTCCGTTTTGCAACATTCAGACGTTCTGACACTAGCGCTCCTTTCTTGCCTGGCTGCTGAGGACTGATTTAAAAAATACGCATGCGCATAGGAAGGTCCACTTTAGCCCCGGAACCTTGGTGCCCGAGCACAGCTGAGTACCGGATCAAGTAGCGCGCTCAGCCGGAAGTGTCTTCTGGGGGTTTGGGGTTTGGGTCGACGTACGGAATCTGTCCAGGTGGTTGGTAAATCGTAGAGAATCAGGATGGAGCCCGTAGCGGCCGCGGCGGCGGAGAATGAACCCGATAAGGGTGAGGCCCCAGCCGCGCGGGGGTGGAGGGAGAGTGCGCCTGAGGTGTCACTAGGAAATTATTCCCCGGGAACGGGAACGAAGGGTTCTTTAAGAGAGGCACTTACCCTGTGCCTTCCAGTTGTCCCGGTTAACCCCTCTCTTCTCTTAGGCAGACTTAGTTCCTAATATTAAACTCTAATGTTAATCCACCTCCAAAATTAACCACTTCCCAATTCCAGGCCAACCTTTCCATGTCCAGGTTAACATTTCCTTCACCCACTCATAGGACAGAGAGAACTGCTTCTTAGGGTTTCTGAGACTGTATCTTCATAGGAGCAGATTGCCTCATCTTTCAGCCAGGATGTACTCTAGGGCTCGAAGCAGTCAGACTATGCCTGAGACTGGGATGTGGAAGAAAATCAGGTTTGGAGCATGGAAAGTGTGATGACCCCAGGGACATCCACCTCTTGGGAAGTGAAAGGACCTGAGGGGTAGGGGTGCCTTCCACTTAGCTTCCTGACCACTCTCCACATCTGCCCTGGTCTAGCGCAGTCTACTGACTCCTCAGGGTCACTATGGGTCGGAACCAACTCGACAACACTTAACAACGTAGGCAGTGTAAGGAGTTCTGGTAGCATAGTGGTTCTGAATCGGGCTGCTAACCTCAAGGTCGGCAGTTCGAAACTATCAGGTGAGGCTTTCTGCTCCCGTAAAGATTTGCAGCCTCAGAAAGCCTGTGCAGGGTCACTATGAGTCAGAACCCGACTCCATGGTACTTAACAGTAGGCTCTGTAAAGCCATTTGAACTGCAAGATAGGTGGTTCAAGCTCACCAGCTGCTCCTCAGAAACCCTACACAGGGTCACTATGGGTCAGAGCTGACTCAATGGCGCTTAACAACAACATAGGCACTGTAGTAGTGTGATGGTTACCTCAAGATAAGCCGTTCAAAACTACCAACAGTTCCACAAGAGAGAGATGAGTCTCTACACCTGTAAAGATTTATTCCAAAACTCTACACAGGGTCGCTATGAGTCGGAACCGACTCCATGGCATATAACCACCATTGGCACTGTGAGATAATATACTAGACCATAAGGTTGGTTTGAACCACAAGGTTAGCAGTTCAAGCTCACCAGTCACTGCTCAGAAACCCTCCCTATACAAGGTTTCTATGAGTCAGGATCGACTCTGACAGTACTTAACAGTAGTCACACCTATCAGAGTCCTGTAGGAAAAGTACTGGACTTCTGACCATAAGATCAGTGGTTCAAACCCACAAGGCACTCCTTGGAAGCCTTTATACAGAGTCACTATGAGTCAGAATTTACTTGTGGCGCTGTGGGTTAATGCGCCAGACTGCAAAGCTGTTTGAACTGCAAAGTTGGCGGTTCAAGCTCACCAGCTGCTCCTTAGAAACCCTATACAGGGTCACTATGGGTCAGAACCGACTCCACAGCACTTAACAACAACAACACTTAACAATAGCAGCAGCATCACCCCTATAAGGAGCCCTGGTGGCTCAGTGGGTTAAGCATTAGGCTGCTAACGAAAAGGTCAGCAATTCAAACCTGCCAAGAGCGAATGTGAGGCTGTCTGCTTCCGTAGACTCACAGCCTTGGAAGCCTGCTGGGGCCATTGTGCTCGGTCCTAGAGGATTGCTGAGTCAGAATTGACCAAATAGCAGTGGGTTTGGGTTTATCCCACCTGTAACCATCACCCCTTTCCCTTCCCCCGCCAAGCCACCTAAAGAAATTGTGTGTGCTTTTCTGTCCTCACTTACTCCCTGCTTGCAGCAGGCTCATCCAGAAAACTGCTGTCCCCAAGATACAGCTTTCCCTGTATCTTTATCTGTATTGTCTTTGACCTTGCCTATCTCCCCCATCAGAATGGATGCTCCCTGAGGGCAGGGATGGATTGGATTAGTCTGTGGGGTTCTCAGCTCAGAGCCTCCCACTCCCTTGCAGAAGAGTGGTTGGGTCAGTGTGTGAATGACTAAGAAGAGAGTGAGAATGAGTGAGTGAGGGCACAAGTGAAAAGGCAGGGTGGGAGGGAATCAAGTAGACCCACCAGGCACAGTCCACCTCCTCTTACACACACTCTTCCCTCTGCCTGGAACCTTCCCTCTTCCCTTAGAAATCCTGCCTCCCCACCTTCAGATCTACTCAGATACCATGTTTTGGAAAGGCCTTCTCTGATGGTCCCATTTAACACCAGAGCCTCTCCCCCCTACCCGACTCCCTTCCCCATGGCACTTTCTCTACATTGTTGGTGAAACCATCTAACATGCTGCTCTAAGTTTTCAATAATGACTACGACTTGTGTCATCATGTTGTTCATTGGCTGTGTGCCCCATTAAAACTCAGTTTCCTGAGGGCATCTCGTATCCCTACAGCTACCCCGACTGACCTAGTGCCTGCTCCCCACAGGCCACACAGAGCCCAGTCCTGGCCACTGGGGGGAGCTTAGCTGGACGTCAGTTCCACCCAAGCCCCAGGAGAAGGTGGACGCCTCCTCAGAGGGAGCTCCAGAGGCCCTGGACAAGGACCCAGCCGAGGCTGAAGGTGCAGCAGTGAGCACCATGCTGCGGGCCGTGGCCACCAGCCGCCTGCCTGTGTGCAGCCAGCAGCAGGGCGAGCCTGACCTGACGGAGCGAGAGAAGGTGGCCATCCTGGGCCAGCTGTACCACGAGAAACCTCTGGTGTTCCTGGAGCGCTTCCACACGAGCCTCCGTGAGGAGCACCTGACCTGCTTCAGCCACTTGCGTGGAGACCACCGCGCAGACTTCTATTGTACCAAGGTGGCCCAGCAGGGCACCGCCCGGCCCCGTGCCCTGCGCAATCGCCGCTATGCTGCCCTGCGTGAGCTCATCCAAGGTGGGGGGCAGATGGGCCTGGGGAGGAGGACAGAGATGTTGAGGGAAGGAAGACTAAGGCTAAGATGGGGAGAGAAAGGGAGGCTGAGGTGGGGAGGGGGAGGAGGAGGCAGAAGCAGAGACAACTGAGTGGGAAACTGAGGCAGAGATGAGGGGCCACTGGGTGGACAATGTTAACACTTATCTGAGGGACAGAACCATTCCTGCGACAATAGGCAGCCAGGGAAAAGAACTAGAGTTGGGGGCAGTGAGGGGCCCAAACCACCTGATAGGGTGGCTTCAGAAAGGGCAGCTCTGGGGAGTGCCTGCCACCCCCAGACAGACACAGGCCCCCACTAGGTCCTCCCACATGGGCACACTCCCCCTGCCTGATCCCATGTACACAGACGCATGCATGCCCCACAGATGTGTGCCTATCAGTCTGACTGGGGCCCACACCCGTGCACTGCTTCAGCCCCATCCTCCACACGCCGACCCCACCCATAAGGTCCCTGTGTGTGCATGGGCCTGAGCAGGGGGCTTCCCAGTCTGTCACGCACACGTGCGAGCACATAGTCCCACATGGCCTCAGACATCAGACCCTTATATCTTCCTCCAAGCATAACTGCACACCGTGACCCCATCCCCGCCCTCTCCTCTTCATGCACACACCTGACCCTGCAGGAGGCGAGTACTTCAGTGACGAGCAGATGCGGTTCCGAGCCCCGCTGCTGTATGAGCAGTACATCGGGCAGTACCTCACCCAGGAGGAGCTCAGCGCCCGCACCCCAGCCTCCCAGCCCCCCAGGCCTGGCTCCCCCGGCACCCCCACCTGCCAACTCTCCGACCTGCTGCTGCAATCCTACCAGGAGTGGGAGGTACAGCAGCGCCTGCTCCAACAGCAGGAAGAAGAGGCGGCCTGCGAGGAGGAGGAGGACGAGGAGGAGGACAGCGACGTGGAAGGTGAGGGCCAGGGAAACCCCAGTGTCTAACAACAGGCCAGACCTTCAGGGAACCAGAGTGGACACCACCATGGCCCTCCCCTGCCTGCCCCTCTAACATCTTTGTCCTGCAGACAGAACCATGCTGGCCACCTCAGAAGTCCCGGGTGGTCTTGCCTACCCATTGTTCCTCACTTGCCCTTGTCCTCAGGTCCCCACCCTGTGCACAGCCCATGGCTCCCATGGTCCTGTGCTGTCCTTGCTCACTGGCTGTGTCCCAGTGGGTGCTGCGATCACACCTGTGGCCCCCACGGACCTAGCACAGGGCTGGGCACAGAGGCAGCAGCTCCTGGTGCACCCTCACCCCTCTGGGTGGGTGTCTACCCCACCTCCCACCCCTGCAGATGAGAGCTCTGGCCAAGACTCAGAGGCCTGGGTCCCCGACTCAGAGGAAAGGCTGATCCTGCGGGAGGAGTTCACTAGCCGGATGCACCAGCGCTTTCTGGACGGCAAGGATGGCGACTTTGACTACAGGTGCTCCGGGCCGCACCCTGCCAGACCCTTACACATGCACAAAGGTCATGGGGTGGGACATCCTGCCACGCTGCATTAGACCTAGAGCGTCAGTCCCGTTTCCTCTGTAAGGAGGGAAAGATCAGGGCCGACCCTGCACTGTGTTGGCAGAATACTGAAGCAGGTCCATCTGTCTGCCCGTCAAGAGGCCATAACCCCAGGCCCCTAATGCAGTAGGAAGTAACACCTAGCAGGGTCTGTGCCCAGCATGCAGGGGTGGTTGGTGGGTGGCCCTGCAGTGCCAGTGGTTTTGTAAGTAGAGGCCATCTGGTCTGGTGGTCCAGAAGCCCGGATTTGGCAGCAGAGGGCCCTGGTTTTAAATGCAGCCCTGACCACCTGGGAGTTTTGTGACTGTGGACAAGTAACTTCTCCACATAGAGTGTTGGTGGGGACTGTGATTCCACGGGCTCGGTGCCCGGCTCACGGTCAGCACCAGTGATGTACCATCCTGCTGCAGACTGGAACCTGGCTGATCCATGGCCGGTGTGGTCAGCACAGAGCTTTAGGCCATCTCCATTCAGCCTCCATATGCCTGTGAAGTCACTGGGCCCGCCCGGTGTGAATAGTGGGCAGTGGTGGGCATGCAGCCAGCATTGTTGAGTATCTGCAATGTCTGGCTCTGAGGGTTTACAAAAACCAAACCCACTGCTGTTGTTCTTGGGGTTTCCAAGACTGTTAATCTCTATGAGAGCAGCCAGCCTCATCTTTCTCCCATGGGACGGCTGTTGGGTTTGAACCAGACCTTAGGGTTTGCAGCCAGACACTAGCCCTGTGAGCCACCAGGGCTCCTTCTGAGCGTAGAGCAGGGAGTAAAACTCTTGTAGGGACAGCAGAATGATTCAGCATCTGGTGATGGGGCCACAGAGACAGATAAAGCAGGGAAGACCTCCCCAAGGAGGTGACGAGTGAGTGAAGCTGAGCCACAAAAACCCCTGGGAGAAACGCCTTCTGGGTGGGGGGACCTGAGGGGACCTGGGGGGGCGGGTGGCAGAAGCACAGAGGCAGCCCATACTTGGTGAGTTGGAGGAACAGCCAGGCAGACTGAGCGGCTAGATAGGTGCTCCTCAGAGGTGGGGGCCCCAGCGGGTAGAGCCTGGTGGGCCCAGGCCGTGCGATGGGGAGATGGGAGCATTTGGCACTGAGCTCTGCCCCAGTATTTATGGAGGGGAAGCTGTCCTGTGCCCTACAGGCGGTTTAGCAACACTCCTGGTCTCTATACATTAGATGCCAAGTAGCACACACACCCCCACCTCCACTAGTTATAGATGTCCCTAGGGGCAAAGTTGCCCCCGGTAAGAACCACTGCCTTCAGGAACGTGGAATCCAGAGTCAGCACATTGCCAGCTTTCCCAGACAAACTGGAAAACGCGAATTTCATGTGAAATCTGCATGGTAAATGTTTCCTTCATTGGTTCTAAGTCCTAAGAAGCCAAACAACAGCCCCTTCTGCGGGTCGGCGTCAGCTGCCAGCACATCACCCCTGACCTGGGCTTCCTAGGGCTCCAGCCAGGTCCCCAGCTTCTCCAAGGTGTGGGGAGCAGGGAGGTCCAGCCCCTGACGGTCTCTTCCCCTACAGCACAGTGGACGACAACCCCGACTTCGACAACCTGGACATCGTGGCACGAGATGAGGAGGAGAGGTACTTTGACGAGGAAGAACCCGAGGACGCACCCAGCCCAGAGCCAGATGGAGACTGATGCCCCCCCACCCCCACGAGTCCCCACCCCAACAAGACAGCTGATGACAAGCCGACTCAGTGACTCTTTGTCTGAAGGGATACCCGGGTGGTCTCACTACTGCCACCCACCCTGCTGGATCTGGGCTTCATCTCAGAGTCCCCTCCGCCAGCCTGCTTCTTTCTCTAAATCTTTATTTTTCCTCCTCTGCCTGCCTCTCTCCTCTCCCATTTTCTGCCTCTCTGGGCCTGGGGCTCAGTGTCCACAGTATAAACTCCTTTCCCTTGACCAAGACCCATGGGGCTCTTATTGAGCTGAAGCAGCCAGCTTGGCTCCAGTGTCCACCTGAGAACGAGGCACCTGGGCCCCAAGGCTCCCGTCCCCCTGCACTCCCTCTGTGTGCCTGGTGTCTCACACTCCTTCCGCCTGTACATTTCCACCTCCTCCCCTGTCTCTCAGGCTTTATCTCGGAGTCTCTGGCCCCTGACCCAACCTGGCTGCTGAGTAACTGTACCACACTGTGGCCAGGGCGCACTCAGGCTTGGGCAGGGGTGAGGGGCGGCAGAACCAAGGGTTATGGGCCTGCCAGCTAGAGGGTGGAGGGAGGGGGTACCGGAGGGCTCTCCCCTCCTGGCCCCAACAGCCCCCCTCTGCCCAACCACAATTTTCCCTTCCTTCACTTCCTCCGCCTCCCTTGCCTGTTTACACTCCCCAAATACACGCAGGCTGTTATCATGGGTCCTGAGTCATCCCCCACACAGGGGCCCGGCCCCAGCGTCCTTGCTCCCAGCTGGCCACAGGGCCCGCCCCATGGAGCCCCCTGCCGCCCCGGGCTAATGGGAGCCAGATGGCCACCGAGTGACTCAGCCAGCGGCTGGCCTGTGGGAACCCAGGCATCCCGCCTTCCCAGGCCCCCACACCCGCTCAGGCTCCCCCAGTACAGAGAGAGAAAGAAGGAACTGGCTACTGGGGGCAGGTCAAGGGTCAACAAAGCGGAGCCTGGAGACCCCACAGTCCTGTCAGAAACACCCTCAGCCACACAGTCCAGAGTGGGGAAGATCCAAAGTCTCCTGGAAGCTCGGCTCCTCACCCCCAGCTTCAGCTCTGCCCACTGGCTCAGCCAGAATTAGAGTCAAACACGAGAGACCAAGAGATGTGAGCAGGGTGAGGAGGAAGGGGCACCAGCCGGTCACCTCAGCTAAGGTGACAGGGCACATCTGACCGCCAGCCCTGTCCCAGGGGCCTGTGAACTGGGGACAATTAGCTCCGCTTAACAGATTGAGCCAGCCATCAGAGGCTGAGCTGAGACACTGTGCACCTGGCTCTAGAAAACCACACTGGTCCTAGATACCACTCTACTAGCCCACCTGCAGGTATCAGGGGGCCGCCCAGGGCTAGGCAGATGTACAGGGCACAGACAGACTTCCCCAGATGGAAAGATTCAAAAAGCATTAGACATTTCAGATATAAACAGCCTAGACCCCACCCCACAACCCGCCCTAATGTGCTGGACACATCCTAGACACAGTGGGTGGCTATGCCACTGAATTGTCCTAGCAGCCCAATGAGGCAGTAGTGGCTATCCCATCTTCCAGAGGAAACAGTGAGACTTGAGGCTGCACCCTAAGATCCGGGGGTCCCACCATTTGAAAAGAGCTAGGGAAATGAATGATGTTTGTCTCAGGTACTGTGCATTCAGTCTGCAAGGCTGCACACTGGAGGTATCAGCTCTTAGTGACAGGCACATTTCTAACCAATCTGTCATTAGATGTATTTATTATATTATTTTGCCATAACGTGGCGTCGATTCCAACTCAAGATGACCCCCATGTGTTACGTAGTAAAAAGAAAAGGAGGGATGTTAGAGAGACAGCCACTGAGTCAGAATCAGGGTTAGTCAGATAGTTGAAAATTGTCTGTGGCTGAGAGGTGGAACAGGTCACGGGGGCAGGGATTAGATGGGGAGACAGGAAGAGAGCTGGAGACAGGGATGACGAGAGACACACCTCCGGTGACAGCCTCTGAGCAACCGAGACCTGGAGGCGCCCTCCTTCCACCCCCAGATCTCCCTCTCCTCCCAGGGCTGACTCAGGGAGGGAGGGCCCAGCACCCACCCCCAGGGGCGAGCCCCTGCCCCCTCCGCAGCGTGTCTCTTGTCTGTCCCGGCCCTGGCACCCCTCTGCTGACCGCCCTCCACTCCTCCTGTCCTCCCTCCTCTCCTCTGGACACTTCTGCTTCTTGCCAAAGCTAAAACCTTTGCTCATCTCTGTCCCTGCCCCTTGCTGTCCTCCCTCCTCAATTCTCATGCCTTTCTTGTCTTCCTTTGTCACTTGCTCTCATGCTTTCCCTCCCCTCTGCGCCCTCACTCTCCTCCCTCCCTCTGTCTGGGTCTCTGTGACCCCATTTCCCATTCCTTTCTCAGTTGGACCCCCTCCTGTATCTACTCCTGATCTCTCCTGGGCCCTCATTTTTTCCTATCCCGGCTCCATCTCTCAGTCTCTGCTCCCTCCTCTCTTGTCTCCCAGGCCCTGGGAGTCTGGAATAAATGAAGGGTCCCCACCTCACCCCCACCCAGAGAGGTGGGAGGTGGACAGCGAGACTGCAGGCCTGTCTGGCCAGAAGGAAATGTCTGCGCTGTGGCCTGGTCACCCCCGCCCCCAGGACCCGCTGGGCTGTGGCCGCCCCCAGGCTGGGAGCGAGTAAACACAGCTACCGGCAGGCAGCTGGGATATTTATACCAAGGGCCGGGCGCGGGTCCAGTGCCCACTGCAGCCCCTGCCCTGCCCTCCCTGCCAGCCACTGCCGCCGCCAGCCCCGAGCCAGCGTGGCAGCAGCCGACAAGGGGACGAACCACAGACATAGCCTCCACTCAGTGTGAAGGCCCGCAGGCGCTGGTCACTCAGGATGCCAGAAGGGATACAGGGTTGCCCCCTCCTCTAAAAGCAACGGCACACAATGCAGACACATACTCAAGCTATCCACCCCTGCCCTCTGGGTGACACAAAAGAGGCCACACAACTCTTCACAGAGACCAGGTCACCAAAATGCAGCCAGTGACTGCTCACAGACACATGGACACCCACAGGGGCAGAGAACACCAGCCATGTGGACACACAGACATACCACACAGCCCTCTTGGAGGCACACAAAACACACCAGGAGAAGCGAGCACACAGGAAACACACCTCATAGGCACACAGACGTGCTCAAAATAGCAGTCATACGCATACACTGATGACAGACCAGAAATCACATGCCCATGGACACACACACACACACACACACACACACACACACACGCCGGAAACACAGCTCAGGTGAACGACATGAAAAATCCCCAACACCTCTTGGAAACACCTTCTTCTCACAGACCCATCCACTTAACACAGACAACACCCACGTTTCCAGTCAGACTTTCACCAGAAAAGCACAAATTTACACTCAGAACAACGAAGGCGTTGAGGTGAAAAGGTAATCAGACAGGAGCGCACTCAAAAGAGAGTCCCCCTCACACACACAAACACACACACATAGCACTTCAGAGTAGATGCTAGAACAAGAAGCACAGAAAACAAGAAAGGGTCACATTGGAAATGTATCAGAGTCACAAACATGAGCTGGGGCCACACACACTGAATGTACCCATGGCAACAAAGCACCCAGGCCCAGGTGCCAGAAACACAAAAGTCACACCACAAACCCTGCTGTCTCACTCCCACAGACAGAGACAGATCCTAACATCATCTATGTGTCCAGATACTTAGGGGGTACAGGGTCTCTCTGTGCCTGTCACTGCCACACACACACCATGAGTGACCCCAGTCAAGCTAGCCTGGGGGAGGGAGCAGGAAGGCCTGAACTGGCCTCCCCCAGCTCAACTTCCTGCCCCCTGGGGGCCGGACGGGAAGCTGGGGCTCCAACCGGAACCCAGGCTCCCCCCACAACTTCCCTCCTCCAGCCTGTCCTGACGGCTGAAGTGGGAAGGGGGGGACAGCCGAGGGGTGGACAGAGGGGTCCCCAAACTCCCTGCCCTGCCCCTGTGGTTGGCTACAAGCAGGACCTGGCATGTCCTGCCTGGACCCAGCCACCAGCGCCCGGTGTGCCAGGGCAGTGCACCCCATGTGCTTGCGGTGGGAGAAGGTGCTGAGCCCACAAGTTTCCCTTCCCCAGCCCCGCCTGCCAGCTCAGCGGGCAGCCCCAGGGCAGGTGGGCGGGTGTGTCACGAGGAGGGCGAGGTGTGGGTTGGAGAAGCTGAGGGCCCAGGGACAGCAGCAGCAGCAGCGTGTGCGGTCATGGGAGTTGGGGGGGGGGGGCATTCCTTGTCCTCAGGCTGAGGCACGAGCTGGGCGTGTAAAGGCCTAGTCTGTGACCCAGGGTGGGGGCGTGTCTGGGTGTGTGGGAGCTGCTCTGTCTGGGCCCCTGGGTGTGACAATGTCTGGCTACACCGGGACAACCGTACTCCCAGGGCCCTGTGGGCTCCCCGTCTCTGGCAGCCTGCATGCCTGTGGCGTGTCCAATGCTCTGTGTGCGGTGTTTCAGGGTTCCTTGTATCTGTGACCATGACCCTAAGAAAGATGTTTGGGCAACTGTTAGCGGGTCCCTGGGGAATCTGCGTTTCACGTTCTGACAGGCTCTGAGGCTGTTTGTGTATGACACTGTGAATCTGGGCATGTATGTGCTGCCTGTGACCCTGACCCTCCAGAATAGATGTGTGAAGACGTCCTTCTGTGACCCTATAGTCCCTGCTCGTGCCAGGCTGGGACACCTCCTATTTGTATCCGTGCATGGGTGGGGCTGACTGCTACGGGATATCACAGTTCATGTGTTACGGCTTCCACAGGAAGTCTCCAGAGATACCGTGTCTAGTGTGGTTCTGAGAGCTGACTGTGTATGTGTGTGTGGGGGGTCCTCCAGGGGCTGCAGTGAATGACATCCACGTCACTGCATCCCTGCATGTGTCTCTGCTTCTTGGGGGCCAAGTCTCAGAGGTGACAACGGTGGCACTCCCAAGCTCCAGCGCCCCCGCAGCAGGAGTGAACCCACTTCCACCCCTGAACCAAACTGGGAAGCCCCCTCTGAGGCCCAGACCACCCTCACTCAGACCCAGTGCTAACAACGGCTCTCATGCCCACAGGCAAGGGGGCATCCAGTGTCCTACCTCCCAGGACAGTCCTGGAAAGAGGATAAGTCAAGAGGCCCCTGGAGAGGAAGGGGAGGAAATGAAGCCAGCTAGGAGAAAAGGGGAGCAGAAGAGAATTTGTAAGCAAGGCTGTAGCAGATGGGGAGAAACAGAGGCAGGAGAAATCCATCCTGTCGGACCTAAAGGATCAATGAGAGTCGCTCCCTGCAGCTACCCTCTGTCCTATTCAGTCAACTCACCACCATCCATCAGTCAGAGGAACCCTCTGAACACACCTTTCTTCTGTAGAACCCTCTGTGGCTTCTGTCTCCCTGAGAGTACGCTCCTACATACAGCCTGCGATCCATGCATACAGAGACTATGCATACATACCCTGAACTCACGCTATCCTTGCATCCCAGCTTCCACTTACTAGCTGTGTGAGCATTAACAAGTCACTTCACCTCTCTGTGCCTCAGCATGCCCATCTGTAAAACAGGGATCAAATGGTCTCTATAGAGCAGGGGTTGGCAAACCTTTTCTATAAAGGGCCAGATAGTAAATACGTGGAGGCTTTAAAAAGTTTGTGGGAAAATGTTAAGATAATGGGATTTTTTTGTAGATCTTTGATGCTTTTGATTTGTCAGGCCATCCCATGTCTGTCCCAACTACGCCACACGTACGTAAACGAACCAACACGGATGGATGGCTGTATTCTAACAAAACTTTATTTACAAAAACAAGTGGTGGGCTGAAATTAGCCAGTGACTGGCAGTTTGCCAACCCTGTTCTATCAACTTGGGGGGCAAATGGAATGAGCTAGTAGGAATGATCTGTCCTATTGTTTTTAAGTGCTGTGGATCATAACGACCCTGTATAGTAGGGGTGGGGAAGCTTTCACTGCCAAAATTTTCAACATCCTCCGCAAGCCATATAAAATTATCAGCTTAAAACAGCCTGCTACATTTGACCAAACGTTTAATTAAAAAGTCAGCACTGTAGGATAAGCATAGGGCCACAAGGTCATTTGAACCACAAGGTCAGCGGTTCAAACTTACCAGTAGCTCCTTGGAAACCCTAAGCGTTGTCTGAGGGCTTGGATGTTATGTTCCCCACCCCTGCTGTATAGGATTTCCGAGGCTACAAATCTTCGCGGGAGCAGAAAGCCTCATCTTTTTCTGCAGAGCAGCTGGTGGTACTAATCGATGACCTTGTGGTTTGTAGTCCAGTGCTTATCCTCTAGAGCCACCTCGCTCCCATATCTGATATATATGTCATTACTCACTGGCCTGTGGGTGTCATGATCTGACACCAAAATCCACTGCTACCAAGTCAATTTCAACTCATGATGACAGTGTAGAATTACTCCATGAGGTTTCTGAGACTATCAGCCTTCACCGGAGGAGACAGTCTCATCTTTTTCCCACAAAGCAGCTGATGGTCTGAACTGCAACCTTACACCATCATAACCCACTACACCAAGAATACAATCTGACTCTTCTGCCACCATCACCCTTACCTCATTCATGCTCTTCCAACCACATTGGCCTGTTTCCTCCTGAGCTAGCACACCCCACCAGGACACACGCTCCCCACATACGTCTGGAGCCTGGCTTCTTGGCAGCCTTCATCCACCTCCTTGGAGAATGAATCCCTTTCTTCTCAATCATATTTCATGTCTTTTATCACTGAACAGGAGCCCTGGTGTGGGGCGCTGCAGGTTAATGCGCTGGGCTGCAAGGTCGATTCAAACCACAAGGTCGGCAGTTCGAGCTCACCGCTGCTTCTCTGAAACCCTATACAGGGTCACTGTGAGTCGGAACTGACTCGATGGCACTTAACAACACTGAATAGCATTTTTTTTTTTTTTCTGTCTATATCTTCCTGGAACGTGAGCTCCGGCTAGGCAGTAACTGTTGCCATAACCGCTTGTTTTCTCACCTTTAAAATACGTGTTCTCAGAATTCCCATACTCTGTTCTGGGGATTCAATGAGTGAATCAACACAAGGTACTGAGAACAGTGCCGAAGATGTAATCACTTGCTAACTTACAAGTTTGGTGGTTTGAGACCACCCAGTAGCCCTGCAGAAGAAAGGCCTGACGACGTGCTTAGAGATTTGGACTCATGGCAAATGTGTGTGTGTATGTTATAATGTGTGTATGTATGTATGTATGCATGAATGTATGTAAAGCAGAACTGTTCCTTAAGAGTTTACCAGGCCTCTGGGTGCATATGAACCACCAATCTTTAGGTTAGTAGTTGCAGACTGTGATACCCATGGCTCTCTTAGGGGGCATAGAGGGTGGTACTTGAAACCTAATATACGCACAGCAGGTGGTGACTGATGGGGACACTCGGAGTCGGGGCTCACAGAAGGTCAGAAAGTCCGAGGAGAGAGACCTCAGTCAGGCTCCCCAATGACTCAGAGACCCCCAGTCCTCTCTTCACCTTTAATGGGCCCCCATGCGGGACGCAGGTGTCCTTAAATACAGCCCCCGGTGACGGCGGTGGGCGGGGTGGAGGCGGGGCCGGGCCTGCCGGGCGGGGCGGGGGCGGGGCCTCAGCTGCACTTGCAGGAACGCACGATCATGTTGGACAGCTGCTCCACTTTGGGCTTGCGGCCCACGTAGTACACGATGGGCAGCGGCTCCAGCGCCTGCGGCACGCAGCACGGCGCTGCCGACGCGCCCGGGTTGTGCTGGTTGTAAAGGGCCAAAACCTGCGGGAGGGCGGGGCCGCCGGCGAGATCAGGGCTGGGAGGGACACCCTTCCTGCCTCCTTTCCCCTCCCTCTGTCTTCTGTCTCTTGCCATCTGCCCTCATCTTCTTGTTTCATCTCATTCTATTACTCCCCATCTTTCTGGTTTTCTTTCTCTATTTAAAAAATAATCGAAACAAAAGCCCACGGCCGTCCTATCGGTTCTGACTCACAGAGACCCTATATGACCATGACGTTCTCGAGGCTGTTATCTTAATGGATGCCGAAGGCCACATCGTTCTTCCACGAGGTGTCTTATGGTTCCAACCACCGATCTGCTTAACAACTGAACTCTAACCACTCCGCCACTGGAACGCCTTTGCTTCCTATTTTCACTCTTGATTTATATCTCAGCTTTCTTTATCTCTCTTACCTTCCATATTTCTGTCTCTCTCCTTTTGCCTTTTTTCTCTCACTCTATCTGTATCTCTGCCATCCCCCTCCTCCCCGTCTCTCTTCTCTATCGCTGTCTCAGCCTCCCCATTCCTGAATCATCTTCTGCCTCAGTTTTTCTCACCTTGCTCAGACTGTCTCCTTTCCTACCCCCATTTCTGTGTCTCTCTCTGCTCCCCACCTCCCGCCAACTCATCTCTCTCAATGTACCCCACTTCCGTACCCACAGTCCATCCCAGCCTCCCACAGAGCAGGCGCACCTTGGTGTACTGGGTGTCCAGGCTCCAGATGTAGGGGCACGGCCCCAGACAGAAGTTGGCGTGGTAACCCTTGGGCTCGTGGATCCACTTCCAGCCCAGGTCCTTGCGAAAGTCGATGTACAGCTGCCGCACGCAACAGTTCTTCTCTGTGGAGCTATGGATTATGGGGTGCATGTTGGAAGGGGGCGGGGAAGGGTTATGGCCCTTCCTCCCCATGTGTGTCCCTCTCCCTAGGTTGCCCCAAACCCATCTCCATCTCAGTGTCCCTGTACCCCGCCCCTCCCGGGGACATGACAACCATCCGGGCAGTAGTAGCAAGTAGCTCAAAACGCCTACCCATGAGGTTTGGGTGCTGGGGAGGGGGACTACACAAGAACGGGGAGGGGAATGGAAGAACAAGGCGGATGGGAGAACAGTTAAGCAGGTTTGCATGGGCTACGTGGGACAAAAGTTAAAAA